GAAATGAGGAATTCTGATGTGTGGCACTTGCTTCTAAGCTTTTCCCATCAATTAAATGCTGGGGCTACCGCCAGGAATCTCTCTTTCTCCCTCCAGAAACGGCACATTGTCTTAGCCAAATTAAAATGGCCAACACCTGGCCAGACTCTTTCTCTCTCTCTCTGATTTTTTCGGTGCGCATGCGGAAGCGTTTTTCGCGTCATTTTTCATGCTGAAATTTAATAAAGAAAATTAATTTGTGGACATTTGACTCGAGGCGAGACACAAAATACAACGGCAACTAAAAAATAAAGAAGAGAAGCTGGCTGAAAGACCCTCTCAAAACGCAGACTTTGATCGATGGCACTCATGATGCTGCAGGCGAGCTTCCATTCCAGCCGAGAGCCACCTCAAGCCACCTCAAGCCACCGCGATCCAGCCGCCAATCTCCCCCAGTTCCGACGACAAATTCAACTTGGTGAATATGCCTTGGCCCAGTGCATCTATCTGCATCTGGGCAGCCTCGAACTTGGAGCCAGGAACCTGCAACTGGTGCCGCATGAGTTGCAAGTTAGCGCAATTAATTTATTTCAACACGAATTTAACTCTCATCGGGCCCCAGCTCAGCTCAGCTCACTTCATTTCACTTCACTTCACTGCACTTCATTCCCAATGCGTTTTACATCATTCTTACGACTGCGAGGAGGCGCAGACTTGGCATTTATATTGTAAAAATTTTGTCGTTACCTTATCTAAATATGGCCATTGCATATAAAGACCCGCCATCCGCGAGGGCAGCTGCGAGCAGTGAGCAGCAGCGAGCCACAGGATCCAATGTCTGCACTCTAGACTTGGCTTGAAAAGACACTAAAAAAAACTAGGATTAAGTGGGGAATTCTAGGCATAAATGGGGAATTTAATGTATTTATTTTGTTTAAAAATTAAATTTAAATTGATAATTTTAATACCATTCAAAAGAGTTGTATACTAAGAGTAACAGAAATAGTTTTTTCATCAGGGAAAAATATTTCTTGAATACCTATTCCCTATTTATTACTCTCTCCAGAATTTATTTAATATTTTTAATATTTTCTAAACCAAACTACCTACCATTTTTCCACGGTGTCCCTCTGTCATCCGATGCTGCGTCACTCATTTTTGCACAGTCCATTAGTTCGCGGATGCAGTCGGCGCTGAAGGTTGTTCCTGCCGTTGTTCTCGTGGCCGCCGTCCATGTCTACCGGTTTGACAGTCGCTCACTCGCAGTTCCACCAATCCCGTTCCCGAGACCAGAGACCCATTCCCATTCCCATTCCCAGTCCAAGTCTCACTCCCAGTCAGCAGTTTTCCAGCTCCATTAGGTGCTGCTGCCCCCTCTGTAGATGGCGGCTTGTAAGCGGTTCCTGCTGGGTTTATTTTAAGCTCTTCTGGGCGCGTCCTTACCAAGGGCTAGGAACTACTCCCTGTCCCCCCCTGCACCTCCTTTTGTATGTAATTTTCGGTTATGCCAAGTAATTTGAGATCGCGCCACACGCGCGGCCTTTAATGACTTCATTAAATGCGCCAAACTAGTTTAGCACAACTGGTTCCATTGGGTTCCCTCGGCCGGAGCCTGGACAACTTCCGATGATGACTATAAAATGATTCCTCGAGGGCATTCCTCAGTTACTTGCTGCCACTTCAAGTGGTCCGCTGGCTGTGTTGTGTGTTGTGTTGCTTGGACAAGGACCCAGGGACCACCTTGCCGGCCTGTCGAATCCTTTCCGCGCATAACTCAGCGAGGCGAGGCTCCTAAATCTCCTTGACAAGATTTTACCAGATCCCTTTGGCTTAATGACTCCAACTGGATGATCGTTGTCGGTCGCGTAAAATGTAAATTTTTCAGTTAGCCGGATGATGAGTTGCGAGAGGGACAGCCAGGAACCATGAGGTTCTAGGATGTGATACACAGGGGAAAAAGTAGAGATTAGTTTGGGGTTATTTAATACCTTACGCACCTTTTCCTTAATGTTTATTTAATTGATTAAATATTAATATATTTAAATTTATTTTAATTTTATGAATTACCTTATTAAATTCATATCCTTTCCCACCAGACTCTCCCAGCTCTGTACTCCACAGAAGTCTGTGTCCATTTACCAGCACAGTCGTTACTCATTCTCAGGGCCGAGGACAACATGGAGTATGTGGCTGAGGATGGCCTGGGAATGGTATGGGTATGGAAAAAGGGATGGGGCATGGTCATGTGTTTCGGGATACTGCTTGAAGGGGTTGCAGCCGCAGCACTGGCTGGATAATTATGACGTTGCAACAATTCCAGCGTGGCAGCCAGAGCTTAGGAGACGTGTTCTGGGATTGCGATTGTGATTGCAAGTGTCTGGGTAAGTCTGGAGTGTGTGTGTGTGTGCCCCAAGTGACAGTGCAACATGATTGCTCTCGGGCTCGCCACATGCCACATTTATCATTCGTCGAAACGTTGAAAAATTAGTCATTCCTTTATTTTACACCCAAATGCCGAGAGCTCTTGGCGCAAACCAGTTGAGGAGAGGCCAAGAAAAAAAATCCTTCTTGCACTTACCAAACTACAGTGGTTAGTGGTTAACTTGGAAAATGAGGAGTGGTTTTTAATGGGAGAATGGAATTTATTTTTAATAAAATATGGAAGAGGTAGCTAGAAGTTGGCTATAAAAAATAGTATTTCAATTTTTAAGTAATATTTGATGGTTATTCTTTAGCAATGCATTCAAAATTATGGCTAAATATATGCGTCTGGTGATGGTAACAAAAACAATAAACATTTTTATAAGGTTGAAGGTGATTTCTTCTGGTTTTTACACAGTTTTTCGTATTCCCCAAGCTATATACCATTTTACTCTAGAAATTCTAGGCTCCTCATTACAAGATGTCCCTTTTATCAAGTCTTCCCTGTCCCCCGTTTGGTTGCAGCTTCTCAGGCTCGTGCAGCAACAACATGCAAATGACTCTTTTAATTTTTATGAATTTCTCTGATTACGAAAATTGCTTCTGGGCTTTGACTGGGCAGCACACCAGGCACCACAGAGCACATAGCACACCATCAGCATCCTGAGTTGCACTCGAGACTGGAAGGAAGCGCCTGAGCATGATGCATCGCGCATCTTCATTAGTTGACGCTGCTCCAATGTCAACCAGGGCCAAGAGTAGGAACCAAACCGAACCGAACCAAACCAAAGCGATCCTCCCTGTGCTTGGCCATCATCGTTTTTAGGCCCAGTTTGGAATACCGCTGGCGGCGGGTCTTTCGTACCGTGTTTGCCTTTCCTGTCGCATGTTCATGTCTAGGCCAAGACCAAAGACCAGGCTGCAACTCTCGTTGGCTCATTGGTGTTCAGCTCGTGGGCTCGAATGGAAATTACAAACCAATAAATCATTGAGCTGCTGCTGCTGCCGCGGCTGCTCTGCCCACATGGATGCGCCGCATCCTTCACCTGCTAAGTTCCACTCCTCACAGGCACCACTGTAATTAGTTGAAATTGTAATTCATGGCGCTGGATTAGATAAAAATCTGCTGCCAATTAGTAATGCACTTGGCCGTGAATAACTTCATACGACCAACGATGGCATCTAATATGCTTATGTCTCTATTGGAGCGATCTAGCCAAAGCCCTCTAGGTGTTTTTTGGTTCTTGGAATCGAAGAAAATATGCAGTGGCAGGGTGAGTTGGTTTAGAGGAAAGTCTTTACTTTGGAGAGAGGCAGAGTCTTAAGTGAGATGGTGAGAAATATATTTTTCTAGATTTTTCAGCTTCATATGAACCATATTTCCATCGTGCAAGCCATGTCTTAAATTTCCAAACATTTGACAACTTGTAATTTTAAATTCCTGACCCACCTTATAAATCTTAAGACTGATCTATAAATTTTTATATAAAAAACAAAACCCAGAGACGGCAATCACTTGAATTTTTTGCCATTTAATTTGGGGCTTTTCGGTTCAATTACTCAATACACTTTAAATGATTATCTGGCAATCTCTCAGCGTTTCGACTGCCAAGAACTTTATGAAGCCCTGGCGATCATATCTCTCTCTCTCGCTGCTGCTGTGGCTGCTGCTGCCAATTTTAAGACCCCATTGCAATTGTCGTAGATCAGGCCGGAGCAATTGACCCCTCACGACCACCACCAGCCACTGCTGCTGCTGCTGCTACTCAGTGATTTAGCCTTGTCTCGACTTCGCGGAGACCAATTAGATCCTTTAAGATCCAATCAGCGGCAGTTTGCCGCCTGTCTCGGCCCCCGCGGCATTGCCGGCCATCGACGGGCAACTTGATTTCAATAAAAATCCATTTAATTCGACATTTTGTGGCCCGAAAAAAAAGGCTAAAATAAGAGAGAAACACTTGGCGATTAACTCTCGGCCGGCTGACGGCTGCGTTCGTTTGAACTCCGTGCGGGTGTTCGGCGGGGTGTTCCCCTCCCCTCCCCTCCCCATTTTTGGCCCAACCTTTTGGCCAACCCCTCGGCCCATATAAATCTCGGTTTGTAATTGCCACGATAAGCGGGGCCAGAGTCCGGCTGCGTTGCTTAAAACCGGTGGCCAAATAGCCAACGCTTTGATCCAGCTTCCAAATCCAATATGTGTACGTTGTATTTAGGTTTCTTTTTTGTATTTTTTTGGCTTTTTTTTGGAGGAAGGAAGCTGGAGCGGTGGAGTAAACTACATAAATTTCGCGTGAAATGCATTTGCGGGCGATAAATTCGGCAACGGCCAGCTTGGACAGCGATAATCAACGCAATTGCAATCGATTTTGGCGTAATTTAGGTTTGGCTTAAGTGGCTCTGACTAACAAGCGGGCTCAAAAGCTGTTCCGCACTGATTGAGCCAAGTTTGGGACACATTTTAAGCAACTTGTGTCCAGCGGAAGTCAAAGGGTGTGCTTTAAGGAGAAGGAAATCATGGAACAAGATCTTTAATGGTATTTTAATATTATTTTAATGTTATTTTAATATTATTTTAATATTATTTTAATATTATTTTAATATTATACTATATAATGTTTTACTGTTGAGAATAATTTCCTTGCTAGGGGTACGAAGATCACCAACTGCACAAGGGATTTCATGACCTCCAGAGTGCGCTTGAACGCAGCCTTGGGTGGCGGTGGTGGCAATATCTTGGGGCGTCCGCGTGGACGCCTTGGCCCAAAGACTGGCAGCTTTTCTATACTGCCTGGCGGTCTTCCTCGTGGACGCCTTGGCCCAAAAACCGGCAGCTTTTCTATACGTCCTGGCGGTCTTCCCCTGGGACGCGTGGGTCTAGTGACCGGCTTAAGTTTTTTACGTTGGTTGGTGAATTCTCCTTTGGCACGGGACCTTCCAGCGGATGGAGGAGCAGTAGCCTCTCGGGGATTAACAACGCTCCGGAGTTGATAGGTCGCAACGCTCTTCGGGGAAGCTACAGTCACGCTCTCCGGAGAAGCTACAGTCACGCTCCCAGGTTGAGCCCCAGTAATGCTTCCTGCAGAACCTGAAGTATCGCTTCCAGCTTGAGGAGTAGGAACGCTCCCTGGTGAAGCTGTAACTGCAGCAGCCGCTTCGCGTTTTTTCTGCAGTCTCTGACTGCGCCGGTCAGTCATGATTATCTAGGAAAAATATTTAAAAATATCTACATATAATACATACAACAGTAATTACAGAATCTTACCGTCAGGTTTATATAATTTAATTTGAATTCCTTTTGAAAGCCCTCCTCAAAACCATTTCTACTAAGAGAGAGTTTTTTTCTGAATGGAAAAATGAGGTACATTTCCATGGAAGAAGGGTTAAAGAACTAAAAAATCTTAAGGACTCACCTTCCTGATTGTTTATGAGAAGTTTACAATTGAAACTTGCTGCTTTTATTCACTTTTTCTTTAGTTTTTCGCATGCGTCATTCAGAAGAAAATTTCTGTGAATGACACTGACAAGAAATGTCATTAAGACTTCAACTTTTAAGGCTGCCATCCCCATGGAATTTAGTAAGGTTGCCACTTAAGTCTTAAAATATTATTATTTGTAGAATATTTTGTGACCTCAATAACGTACATATATATAAAAACAAGCTTCTGGTAATCACAAACCCTGTCTTTCCCCATCTTAAAACCCCCTTTGGAGACCGCTTTTCTTTTGTATTTTCTGTGTGGCCCAAAAAAGCGGCGGCAGTTGGCCAACAATAGGAACAATTTAAATCAAACAGCGTTGAACGCAATGGAATTGTTAGCCGGTGGAAACTACCGTTAAGCTCACTTTCGCAGCGGGTTGCTGTGGCGGCACCAACCAGAAATTACTCATACGCAACGTGGCGGCCTCAAGCTGACCCCTGTGCGGCGGCCAGCCACTGTCTTGGAGGGGGGGAAGTGGGAAAGAGGGAATACGGGGGGGGCTTGTTGCCGCCTCTGCTGACACTCGACCTCGCCCGTTTCACGCTGCCGTCGCTCGATTCCATCGAGCGCTGATTAATTACACCGCCCGCTGTGCGAATTCTTCAATAAAAATCATAATTTCATGTTTGCGGCCGCAGCCAGAAAATAAAGAAAAAAAAAGCAGGGAGAAGCCGAAAATAAATGATGATTATTGCCGCATTTCTGTAAGCCGCAGCTTATTAGCTGCACGAGCTCCGTCATCCCGAAAATCCCCTCTTCGCGCATGCAAAGTGTATCGAATTTTTGATTGAAACTTTAAAATACTCGTTAGAGGAGGGTTTCCTCCTCGATGCGCGTGAGTTTATCTTTTGATTAGATTCGTTAGACTTTGTATTGGTCTTTTGTAGCGCTCAGAAATTGGTCAGCCGTCGAGCGGTTCGCTTTTTGTAATTCTTTGATTTTTTTTAGCCACGATGGAGTCATTATTCACAATTTAGTAACACTTGATTTGCGCTCCGGCGTTTTCTATAAATTTTCATAAATTGTTTCTATTTCGTTACCCTCGCAATATGTTCGAAAAAACCCAACAAAAAAACCAACCAAGATTGCCTGATTGCACAAAGTGGCGGCTGGAGGGTAAATAACTCTAAAGTGACCCAGTTTTGCAGTTTAATTGTGCTGCTATATATACTCTAATGGCTTCTAAAGTCTGTCTAAATTTAAAACACAGCTTTAGCTTTAAAATAAAAATATAACAAAGAATTCAAATATTTTTGTAGCATTTTAAAAGTCTCATTTAATTGAGCCTTCATTTGTTAAGCTTTATCATACGCCCCGTTGGCTGTCCCTCTCCGCTGGCTTAACTAATTAAGACACAGCCCAAAGGACCTACAAGAAAAATTCCAAAAAAATTCTCACAAACATATCTGAGAAAGCCTGACAGGCTGCCAAGTGTAAAATGTTAAGAAATATCCCAGGCATTAAGCAGTCCCCTGTGCCAGAGTGTGTTAAAATGAGGCCCAGCATGATGTATTCAAAAATCATTAACGGCCCTGATGCGGTGAAAGGAGTGCTTCCCGGTTTCCCCAGTCTCTCCCAGTTCCAGTCTCCCCTCATTCCAATCCCCAATTTGCAGCCCCAGACTGATCCACATATCGCGGCAAAGTGAAGCGAAAAATTGGTTTGACGTTGCGTCAAAATTTCACACTTTTGCGCCAGATAAAAACGCAAACAAAATAAGAAAATAAAAAGAGAAGCGGACGCTTGGCATTCTCCAAATATTTGCCAGGCTGTGCGAGAAGGATCATTAAAATAAAGGAGTGCTAACCAGGGGCGGCAGGCTGAGAGGGGGGGGTTGTATGGCCGAACAAGAGGAGTTAAATTAGCATACAAGTCGCGCTTTTGCCATAATTTGCATATAAAATTAGCGCAACACGTTGCAGCCAGCCTCCGGGTGACACATGAGGCACTGACTCCGCCGACTCGAAGCTCTCTGCCGCTCATTTGGCGACTTGCAGCTGCTGATTGGTTGTACACACACAAATCGGGGAGCTGCTAATCCAACAGGGCACACTGAGAGAAATAAATGGATAATTTTGGGGTAAAGATATTATTTTTAAACCATTGAAGGGTGTTATAATTTCTATCAGAAGCTTGAAACGCACTGGAGGAGTCATTTTCTACCTTATAAATCATATATATTAATTAAAATATTTTCCATTTATTACATTTAAAATTAAACCATAAATTTCTCTCTCTGCAGGCCGAGTGTCCGAAAGCGCTATGATAATTAACCCTCTAGTGCCCAAGACCGCCTCTAGACGGGTATTGTTAAAAACACCGATATTTTATTCTTTTCATTCCGTTTTACTCGGTTTCGCGTTTTTTCTAATTCGGGGAAGTCCAAAAATTAGGTTCGTTGCGTTTGGAATACACACTAGAGCTTGCGCAAGCTGCTGTATTCATTTGAAGCTGAAAATTCGTGCAGTTCGGACGAAAAAATTATTTTGTACGAAGTGCAAAACATAAATATTTTTTAAAAATATTATAAAAAGTTTGCTACTGGAAAAAAAATTAATACCGTGTTGCTTATAGTCTTAAGGACGCAAAATACGAAACCCACACTAAAAAAAAGTTTTCGTTAGCTTTTTATTGCTTTTATAAAGTATCCCGTCTAGAGGCGGTCTTGGGACAATTCGGGAAAAAAATTTATAAGGTAAGATTAAAAGTGAAACAACCTATAACATATTTAAGTACATATAATTGCTTCTGTAGACATGGAACGACGACAAGGGAATAAGCTATCAGCTCTTTCCGACGTGGAGATTGAAAAATTGTTAAATTCTATTGAATTTGATATTGATACGGATGGAGAAGAAGAATTGGAAGACGATTTGACTGATGATGTTTCCGAGGCAGCGCTTCCTGACTCTGAGGAAGATGAAGGGCCTATTGAACAAGTGCTACATATGTCGGATTCTATGTTGGCTAGTGAGATTTGTGTAACTTCAAGCGGAAGTCCTACTCCTTTTGCAAAATTGTTGTCTCCCTCAAGTTCGATTCCGTCCAATTCACCTCAAGCACAAAAACGCAAACGTAAAGCGCCTGCTGAGCATAATACTGCTGATGTTAAAGAAAGCTCAATAGCTGAATGTGGATCTGTTTGGACTATCGACCCAAAAGCACCGCTTTTTAAAAAGATGTTGTGGCGCCAAACGAACCTTGTCATGGATAAATCTGCAATATCCTTTAATGAGCCTGACCTCGGAGAACTTAAAAATTTGGATACGCCATTCAAGTGTTTTCAATTTTTTTTGAATGATACTATTATTGAACATATCACCCAGCAAACAAATTTGTATGCTGCCCAAAAGGACGTCAATACTTCGTTTTCCACAACAAACTTAGAAATTCGACAATTTATTGGCATTCTATTTTTGATGTCAGTTTTTCGCTACCCAAATATTCGTTCATATTGGGGGGAGTGCGCATTCGGAGCAATACAAAACACAATGGCAAGAAATCGCTTTGAAAAAATACGAAGTAATTTGCATTTTAATGATAACAGTAAGTTGCCCTCAAAGGATTCTGCCGACCACGATCCTTTATACAAAATACGGCCGCTCGTGAATCATTTCAATGATAAGTTTCAATTAGTTCCGATGCGCCAACGCTTATCTGTGGATGAACAAATGTGTGCAACGAAGATGAAGACCTTTCTTAGACAATACTTACCAGACAAACCACACAAATGGGGAGTGAAATTCTTCAATTTGTGTGACTCTTCTGGCTTTTGCTATAATTTCGAGATATATTGTGGAGCAGGTGACAACGTTGTTCAAACTGGCTCACCAGATCTTGGTGCGGCAGCAAATGTAGTTGTTCGATTCCGGATTTGTTCCGGATTTTAAAAATCAGATTATCTACTTTGACAATTATTATACTTCGTTGCCGCTTCTTGTATATCTCAAGTCCCGGGGAATATTTTCTTTGGGAACTATTCGCTCGAATCGCATTCCAAATTGTAAGCTGCCAACTGACAGCGACCTCAAAAAACAAGTGCGTGGATATTCTACAGAATTTTGTGGATCTGTATCAGGAGTCGAATTGTCTTTGACGATTTGGAAGGACAATAAGGCAGTACGACTTGCTTCGACTTACGCGGGCACTAAGCCTTTCCTGAATGAAACGAATCCAAAAGGTCAGGTTTCACGTTTTGTTCGTTCCGAAAAAAAGTACGTTGACATAAATTGCCCAAATGTTATCCACGAATATAACAGCCACATGGGCGGTGTCGATTTAATGGACGGACTTATTGGTCGATATAAAATTCCCATAAAGAGCAACAAGTATACAAATCGACTATTTACGCATATGCTTGATTTGGCAATGGTAAATGCTTATATTTTGTTCCACCGAATAAACCAGCCCGACGCTAATAACACAAAATACCAATTGCCAAACTTCCGATCAGAGGTCGCATATGTGCTGTGCAAGCTACAAACTCCTAATTTGCCAAAAGGACCCGGCCGCCCGCGGCAAGCTATTGGGAAGGAAAATAAATGCACAGGGAAGAAAACTTCCCTACCGTTTAATGATGTACGTTATGATACCGTCGAGCATTTTCCAATGTTTTTATCACGCGCTGGCAAAAAAACCTGTAAGCTTCCTGGTTGTACTTCCGAAACTCAAATTGTCTGCCGTAAATGTAACATAAACCTGTGCTTCTCCCAGAAAAAAGACTGTTTCTATGATTTTCATCACAAATAAGAAAACGAAATTTTTGTACACAAATATTTGAAGCTTTGTGAATTTAAGTAACTTTAGTTTTAATTGTTATTTTATTTGCTTTTGGTGTTCATCTTTATAATATATATAATAAAACATGTAAACAAAATTATTGATTACCTCATTTTTTGTTGGCCCATCTGCCCAAAGCCGCCTCTAGGCGGTCGAAGGTTATAGTCATATAAAACTCGATCCGAGCAAAAGTAAAAATTTTTCCAGAACAAACATTCACTTTTGATACATACTGAATCCAAAAATAATTTTTTTC